ATATTGAGTATTCCACTTCTTCATTTCAGTCTCAGTTTTCTTCAATGTTTCTACCTTTTTTGTGTATTCAGTCATAATTTTATCCCCATCCTCTTCTAGTTCTTTGAATGATTTATTTGTATGTTTCTTAAATTTGTTGAATACTTTGATCATGTTTATGATTGCTCTCTAAAATGTTGTGTCCTGGGTTATCGCTAGGTTGTGATCACTGTAGAATTCTTCTATAGGATTGGCGCTGTTTGGTGGGGACATATTATTTGGGTTTATCATATTATTATTTTTTGTTGTGATTTTGGTGTGTGGATTTCTTTTATTGCTTGGGATTCTGGTCTGAAACTCAAACCTTCTTTTGTTGAGTTGAAGTTTAATTCTGTATGTGTTATTAATGTATCTTGGTTGCTTTCTGATTGGGTATGAAAAACTGGTTAGTGTAGGCTTCAGGTTCTCTCTTTTGATTTTTACATTAGATTTCACAGATGGCTCTAGTCAGGCTTCTCAGGAACTCTCCAGGAGAGCAAAGTCACCCTGGCTTGTTAGGAGCACTTCGGTAGCCCCAGATGAATATTGACACAGCCCATGGAGAGGTAACGGGAAGTGGATGTGTTGGTTCCTACTAGTCAGCAGGCAACCTAAACCCTAGAGCAGTGGGAAGGCTTGCAGGTGACCCTAAACCAGGGTAATGGGACTATTTTTTGATTACATGTCTAGGCAGATAAAATACATAAAAGTGTTGGTATCTGAAAGAGCAAGAGAAAGGTGACCTATAGATGATTTATAGTCATTTAATGTCATCAGGATTTTAAGGACTGAAGGAGAAAGAGGAACTATGTATTTAAAAAGGACAGAGTCTAAAATTTCATTTGTTTTAGTGACTCTTGCCTGTTCCTCAACAGAACACCATCAAGTATGATTGTAGAAATATAATTTGACATGTCTTCTTTAGGAGAAAGGTAGCTAAATTATGATATTAATGGCATCTGTCTTTCCATCCCTGAATGTTGCTTTGATTTTATCTTGTCTTAAAATACCTTTGAAAGGTATGCTGTATCTTGCAGATAGTTGTATACTAACATAGTTCATGTAAATGATACTCATAATGAGATTGCGTAAAGGAATGCTCACATTTCCTTGACCATGTCACTTGATGACATTTTTTTGCCCAGCTTTTTTTCCCCTCAAATGACAAGACATTATAAAAGCAATAGGGAAGAGAAAAATACATAGCATCGGCAGAAGTAACTGAATGCTTTAAGGTGAAATGAAATATAGATGTTCAAAATGTCAATTGTGCTAAGGTTAGAAATGAACAGAGAGAAATATACTTCCTGAGGTTTGAATGTTAACACAAACCTTGATCTAAGTTCAGGTTTGCTAAATGAAATTTTAATATCCACCAGCTCTATTTCTTTTGCTATCTTCATTGCTGACTATTTTAGAAAGCACATGCATACAAACAGGCAGCTTACAAACCTGTGATGAGATATTCAGACTTTTATATTTTTATATTCTATAATTTTCTCTGTTATGAACACAGAACACCTTAGTAAAATTAGTACTCAAATGATAACTAAGATAAGAGTAGAACATTATAGGAATATTATTTTTGCTCTAAGTTTTTCACAGAAACAAAGTAAAAATAAAAAGAAAATACAACCATATTATTTGTAAGTTGAATTTATTAGAAAATATTGCTGAATTATGTACTTCTGAGTACAATTATATTAAAATCAATTCACAGAAGCACCATTTTGAAGAACTTTTAAAATACCACTAATTCTTGTAAATTGTACTGATCTGTAGTTATCAGGTTTTATACTCCCATTATATGAATATGCCTATGTGTCTGTTTAATATCTCTGAGGTTTTACAGATCAAATTCAAAATCTTTCTCAGAAGAAGTCCACCAGGTTAGGTCCACTTTGCAATGTACAACATCTACATTGCCTGTGGTACAACTTGGGAATCATCACACTCATCCCATTTTTGCATCCTTAGAGACAGGGCTTTAGAGAGAACTAAATAATTATGCCTGCCATTTCTCTCTGCAGATTTCAGTGTTCTCAGAATCCCACTGAAACATTCATCCAGGAAAAATGTTCTGGAATTTGAGTAGGTTCAGTTGAACCTCATCTTGAATCAACACAGTAAGTATTCCCTGAAATTGCAGTAGAAATACTAAAGAATTCGTATATCATTGTATGTCTATATACCCAAAGGAACCAAAACCAGCAAACAACAGACATATATGAACATCTGTGTTTACTGTGGCACTACTGACAACAGTTAGAGAATAAACTCAGATTTGTATTAGGGATTAATGGATAAAAGTTATAGCATAAATACATAACTACTATTATTTAAACATAAAAAATTGAATCGACATTTCAGAAAAATGAATGGAACTGGAAATCATAAAATTGAGTGAAATCAGCCAGATTCAGAATTGTAATTTTTTCTTTGTTTCAGTGCTCATAAGTGGAATCAAAAAAAAAAAAAAACATGGAAATAGAAAAGGGATGACAATGGAAAAAGATTAGGGCTAAGAGAGGGCAGTGGAGGCCACATGACAGGCATGGTTTAACAATGCAACAAAACTTCTTTTTGTGTAATTGATATATGCTAATAAAATATTTTAAAATACAGCATTGAAAGTTTCAAGTCATTTGAACACTCAGATTCTTTAAATTCTTTTGAGCAGAAAAGTGAGTTTATAGTAACTGAGCCAATATAAGTATATTGACCTGTTGTATCAATAAAAGCTGTTTCTAATCATTTACTTACTAACTGATAATGTCTAATTTTAAAAGTGAAAATCAAGTTTTAAATGCATTTAAAACAGGAATTTTTTTTGTCTTTTTTCTTTTTAAGACAGGGTCTCCCTGTATCCCAGCTGGCCTGGAACTCACTCTGTAGACTAGGCTGGCCTTGAGCTCACAGAGATCCAACTGCCTCTGCCTCTGGGCTGGGATTAAAGGCGTGCACCACCACGCCTGGCAAAACAGATAAATTTTATAGAAGATAAAAGGTGGAAAGTCTAAAGCAACTAAAATCAGCTGGCTTATTGGTAGAAATTTATAAAAATCATTTATTATGTCCCAGAAAACTCATATTTAGGGGAATACATTTGTTTTTCTTTGTTATAAATTTTTTTTTGTTGAAATTTTGTGTATTTTATACAGAAAATCATCTTTGTACCCCCTTCCCACTTCCCCTTTGGCACCCTCCCACTAACCCTCCTGCCCCCCACTGGAGCTCATACAGTCTGTCATTTGTGTTAAGGCTTATTATATAAAATTAGTGTCCCCAGATGTCCCTCAGTGCAAGTTCATTCACTTGGATTTAGTCTGCCTATCTAGAGTTTCTCTCTTCAAGAAGATCAGCTCCTCCTTACCCAGCAGTAATTAGCTTCCAGTAATTCTTTGACTAAGATTGGGGCTTGCTGTTCATTTCCACAATTTTGTGCTGGATTTTTGTCTGCCTAAGTTTCTAAGTTTTCACGGGTCTTGTGCATGCTGACACCATTGCTGTAGGTTTGTATGAAAAGGGTCCATATGGTCATGCACCTGATGGATTCAAACCAAGTCCCCCAGAATGATGGATTCAAACTAAGATCCCCAGGCCTGAGAAAAATTGTACAAGGAAGTAAAAATGAAAAACAATTCCTACTGCTGAGAAAAAGCTGACCTTTCCATGCTCTTTGCACAAGCTGGAAATCACTCGAAAAATCCACCCCCCCCGCTTCTGCTTTTTTGGCTCAGTAGTCACTTGTGATTTGTGGTTTTTGCCTTTATAAGCAGCCTGTAAGCTGAGCTTGGGGCTTCTCCTTCCCGAGTGAGGCAGAGGCCCATCTGCGCAAACAATTAAAATCCTCTTGCTTGTTGCATCTCCTGGTTTGAGGACTGAGTTATTGGGGTGTGGCCTCCCATGGACGTTGGGTACCCCAGACTGGGGGTCCAACATTTGGGGACTCGTCCGGGATTCGGTCGCCCCCAGACCCATTTCCTCAGATCAGTAGGAGGTAAGGACAGACGTCTTGTGGTTTGTCTTGGTCTCAATGTCTGTCAGTTATTTCCTGTTCTGGGAATGTTCCGTCTGAACATTTGTGCCTGTACAGGACCTGTAAGTCTGTATTCTGGGAATCAGCAGGAGTGGCAGACATGCCCAGGGACCCCTGGTTCCAACACTCTGGCCTTAGTGACCAGAGTGATCTGGAATGGGGAGGACAGCGTAGCTTTCCTCACCCCAGGAGAAGGGAGATTGGCCTGGCTACTCCCCTCCCAATCTGTACTTTCAGTTTTGAGTCAAGAAACCGCAGCGAGGATTTTTGTTTTGTGTTTGTCTGTGTTTGTACTTGGGGATCCTGAAAGTGAAAATGGTGAGTGCAGTGTGTGTCTGAGTGTAAGAAGGACCGGTCCACATGAATGTGATTTAATGCGGTGTATGTATGTGCTTGATGGTGTGTTAATATCTTAAAAGGGGAAGGTCTGGTTTTGTATTTCTCTCTACGCTCTCTATTTTAAACCTTCCCTTCCTCCTTCTCTTTCCTTTTATTCTCAGTCTAAGTCTTCATGAGGGACTGTTAAAGGTGAAAGAGCAATTGAGGTTTTCTGGTCAGGGCCACTCCCTGATGTAAGCCAAAGGCTCTTAGCCCTCTTAGTGGACCCCGACTGCCCACACGGGTGGAGACGAGACAGCCTTCCTGTACTTCCTTCTCCTTTCTTCAGCCACTGAAAAAGCCCCGCGGGCACGGGTCGAACAAATAAAAGCCACAGGGCGCTTGCCGCTAAAAGACTCCCGTGGAAGGATAAGGGGGTCCCAGGTGTGAATCCCAGATAAATTCACGTCCCCCGCAGAAGAAAAACTGGGCAACGTTAGGTACTCGTCCATAAGCACACCCACTGGACATTATTATTTGGAGTGGCATATTCTTTCTTTCTTTCTTTCTTTCTTTCTTTCTTTCTTTCTTTCTTTCTTTCTTTCTCTCCCCCTCTCCTGTGAAGCTTACCTCTAGAATACTGGAAGGAGGTTGTGGAGCGGGCCCACAATTTATCAGTGGAGGTCCAAAAGAAGAAGTGGCGAAGTCTCTGTTCCTCTGAATGGCCCTCTTTTGAAAAGGGGTGGCCAAGGGATGGGACTTTTGACCTTGCTACTATCTTGCAGGTTAAGGAATACATTTTCCACCCAGGACCACACGGAGACCCGGACCAGGCAGCCTACATAGTCACCTGGGAAGGCTTGGCCCGAAACCCCACACCTTGGGCACAGCCATTCCTACCTCCTCAGGGAACCAGAGAAACTGATCAAGGGCCCAATACCCCTTCTACTCCCCTGAGTCTCACTTCCTCCCTCCTGCCCCTTCAGTCTTCCCCTGAGAAGAAGAAACAAAAGCCAGTCATCCCTGAGGACCAAGTCTCCCTAACCCTCCTTGATCCTCCACCTCCCTATCCACCTGTACAGGCGCCTCCACCCCAGGAACCTCATCCCTCTCCCAATTCCACCGAACCTGACCAATTCCCCCCTCTGTCTAGCAGACTCTGCCTGAGGAGGGACAGAGGGGGCCCCTCTGATGGAACTGGGACTGCCCAGGTTCTTCCCCTCCGAACAGTAGGGGATCAGATCCAGTATTGGCCTTTTTCAGCCTCTGACTTGTATAATTGGACAACCCATAACCCCTCTTTTTCTCAGGACCCCCAGGCTCTAACTGCTTTAATAGAGTCTATCCTCCTCACCCACCAACCCACCTGGAAGGATTGTCAACAGCTCCTCCAGGCACTCCTAACCACAGAGGAGAGACAGCGAGTCATCCTAGAAGCCCAGCAAAACATCCCCTGGCAGGATGGGAGACCTACTCTGTTCCCAAATGAAATAGACGAAGGATTTCCTCTGACCAGACCCAACTGGAACCACGAGACTATGGCTGGTAGGGAGCATCTCCTTTTTTATCACTAGACTCTGATAGTGGGTCTCAAAGGGGCTGGAAGGTGCCCAACCAATTTGGCAAAGGTACGTGCTATAACCCAGGGGGAAAATGAAACCCCCGCTGGGTTCCTAGAGCGCCTGATAGAGGGATATCGGAGGTACACCCCTTTTGACCCCACGGCCCAGGAGCGTCAGGCGGACCTTACTATGGCCTTTATAGGACAATCAGCTTCTGACATTCGTGGTAAGCTCCAATGGCTAGAGGGCCTTCAGGGGTACTCTTTACAGGACTTAGTAAGAGAAGCTGAGAGAATCTATAACAGGCGAGAAACATTAGAGGAAAGAGAGGATAGAATCAGAAAAGAGCAGGAAGCTAGAGAGGATAAAAGAGAGAAAAAGAGAAATAAAGAATTAAGTCAAATTTTGGCCACAGTAGTCCAGGGAGTAGGGCCAGGTAGGGACCTGGGAGACAAGAGAAGGCCCCGAGTGGATAAAGACCAGTGTGCCTATTGCACATTGGACTCAGAAATGTCCAAAGAAGCTGAACAAACTTCAAAAGAAGACAACCCCAGTTCTGACTCTAGGGGACTAGGGGAGTCGGGGCCAGGAGCTCCCCCCTGAGCCCAGGGTAACTTTAAAGGAGGGGGGGGGCAAATGACTACCTTCATGGTAGACACAGGACTCAACACTCAGTCTTGACAACAACCGAGGGACCTATGAGTTCCAAAACAGCCTGGGTCCAAGGGGCCACTGGAGGAAAAACATACAGATGGACCACAGAAAGAAAAGTGGACCTCAGCACAGGACAGGTTTCCCACTCGTTCTTGCTGATCCCCAACTGTCCATATCCCCTTCTTGGGAGAGATTTACTCTCTAAGTTGGGGGCCCACACCCACTTCACTAAAAAGGGAGCTACACTAAAAGGAAAGGATGGAGCTCCACTACAAGTGTTAACCCTGCGACTGGAAGATGAACATCGGTTATATGTGGGACCGATAGTAGAAACTCCTGGTATATCTGATTGGCTAACTAAAATCCCCTCAGCATGGGCCGAGACAGGAGGCCCAAGACTGGCATGCAACCAGCCTCCAATAGCGGTCAAACTAAAACCATCTGCAACTCCGGTTTCAATCAGACAATACCCTATGAGCAAAGAGGCCCAAGAGGGAATCAGGCCCCACATTCAAAGACTTTTACAAATGGGCATACTTCGCCCCTGCCAATCCCCTTGGAACACCCCACTGCTCCCCGTGAAAAAGCAAGGAACAAATGACTATCGACCAGTCCAAGACTTAAGAGAAGTCAATAGGAGGGTAGAGGATATACACCCCACTTTCCAAATCCCTACAATCTCCTAAGTACCTTGCCTCCCAGTCACAGGTGGTATACTGTACTTGACCTGAAGGATGCATTCTTCTGCCTAAGGCTGAGCCCGGTTAGCCAGCCCATCTTCACTTTTGAATGGAAGGACCCTGAAGCTGGAATGTCGGGACTACTAACCTGGACGCGACTTCCCCAAGGATTCAAGAACTCCCCTACTCTGCTTGATGAAGCTCTGCATCATGACCTGGCTGACTTTCGGGTAAGAAACCCACAGATTATGCTCCTCCAGTATGTAGATGACCTCCTCTTAGCAGCCGAGATGGAAGCAAGCTGTTTGCAAGGTATGGAGGCTCTCCTATTGAGACTGAGGGAACTTGGATATCGGGCCTCGGCAAAGAAGGCCCAGATCTGTCTACAGCAGGTAAACTATTTGGGCTACCGGCTGAAGGGAGGACAACGATGGCTAATGGAAAGTAGAAAACAGGCGGTAGCCTCTATTCCCTCACCAACTTCAGCCAGAGGACTCAGAGAGTTCTTGGGAAGTGCAGGATTCTGTAGATTATGGATACCAGGCTTTGCCGAAATAGTGGCTCCTCTATATCCTCTAACAAAGAATGGGACTCCTTTCATCTGGGCTGATGAACACCAGAGAGCTTTTGACAAAATAAAAAGAGCATTGCTGACGGCTCCAGCTCTAGGATTGCCAGACTTGACAAAACCCTTCGTCTTATATATAGATGAAAATAAAGGGATGGCAAAAGGGGTCCTTACTCAGACTTTGGGACACTGGAAAAGGCCAGTAGCTTATCTCTCAAAGAAACTGGACAATATGGCCACTGGCTGGCCCCCATGCTTGAGAATCATGGCGGCAATAGCATCCCTGGTAAAAGACCTAAATAAACTCAATATGGGTCAGCCCCTGACTGTCATAACACCACATGCAGTGGAGTCCATCATTAGACAGCCCCCTGACGGATGGCTGTCAAATGCCAGGGTGACCCATTACCAAGCACTACTGTTAAATCCAGAAAAGATCAAGTTTGGTAGCCCTGCCCCTTAAACCCCGCCACGCTGCTACCAGCCCCCGAGAAAGGCACTGAGATTCCCCATGACTGTCAGCAAATACTTACGGAGATGCATGGGACTAGGGGAGACCTCACCGACCAGCCCCTAACAGATGCAGATGCCATCTGGTATACGGATGGGAGCAGCTTTCTGCGAGATGGTGAGCGTAAGGCGGGGGAGGCCGTGGTTCATGGAGAAAAAATAATTTAGGCCCAAGCTCTGCTGGCTGGAACATCAGCCCAATGGACTGAATTAGAAGCCCTAACCCAGGCCCTAAAATTAGCAGAGGGCAAAAAGGTCAACATTTACACTGCCAGCTGCTATGCATTTGCCATGGCTCACGTACATGAAGAAATTTATCGGAGGCGGGGGCTCCTCACCTCAGCGGGCAAGTACATTAAAAACAAAAAAACAATAGTGGCCCTTCTACAGGTTTTGTACTTACCTAAAAAGATCAGCATTATTAATTGCCCTGAACATCAGCGAGACCAGGGGCCGATTGCTCGAGGCAATCAGATGGCAGATGAAACTGCCCACCAGGCAGCAGAAGGTACCTGCATTCTCTACACACATGCAGACCTTAAGGCTGAAATGGAGGCACAGGAAAAGGAGGGAGAAGCTCTTTTTACCTACACTGAATGAGACCTGGAACTTGTTCAGAAGCTTAATGCTACCTTGGATCCAGAAACCAAGATATGGAGATATCAGATTCGAACCATACTGCCCCAGGAGGCAGCACTTGAGCTAATCTCCCAGCTCCACCAGTGGACACACTTAGGACACAAGAAACTAAAAACATTACTAGAAAGAGAAGAACAATTCTACTATTTCCCGGACCTAAGCCAGCTAGTCCAGAAGGTAGTGGGAGATTGTGTCTCATGTTCCCTGGTAAATGCTTCTAGATCAAAGGCCCCATCTGGTATGAGAGAAAGAGGGACACAACCAGGGACTAACTGGGAGGTAGATTTTACTGAGATCCTCCCAGGAAAACATGGTTATAAATATCTCCTAGTGTTTATAGACACTTTCTCAGGGTGGGTTGAAGCTTTCCTCACCCAAAAGGAAACAGCCCAGACTATGGTGAAGAAACTGATCGAAGGCATCTTCCCTCGATTCAGACTGCCTAAGGTAATTGGGTCTGATAATGGCTCAGCCTTTGTCTCCCAGGTAAGCCAGGGAAAGGCCAAAGCATTGGGGATCAATTGGAAATTACATTTTGCTTATAGACCCCAAAGTTCAGGACAGGTAGAAAGAATGAATAGAACCATTAAAGAGACCTTAACCAAATTAGCTCTAGAGACTGGCACTAAAGACTGGGTGCAGCTCCTACCTCTAGCTCTATTTCGGGCTAGAAATACTCCTGCTATACACGGCCTAACTTCCTACAAAATCCTTTTTGGAGGACCGCCTCCTGTCCTCAATGTAACCTTGTCCCCCTTGCCCTCTTCTTTTAATAACCCCAGCCTAAAAACAAGACTCCAAGCCCTCCAGATCATCCAGAACCAGGTTTGGAGGCCCTTGGCTGCTGTCTACCAGCCTGGGAGTCCACGAACGCTCCACTCCTACCAAATTGGAGATCAGGTGTACATGAGAAGACACAATGTAAAGACTCTTGAACCACGGTGGAAAGGACCCTACACGGTTCTCCTGACTACACCCACGGCCCTCAAAGTAGACGGAATTTCAGCTTGGATCCACGCTTCACACGCCAAAAGAGCCCCGGCCCAGGAGGACGCTGGAAAATGGCATCTACACAAAACATCCAACCCAACCCCCTAAAAATAAGACTCTCCAGAGATAACTAATGAGTCTACTTGTTTGTAGGTTTGTCCCCAGCCAAGGAAGCCCCCATCTCTCTATGTTGACCACCTGGCAGGTGATCAATCAAATGGGTATTGTAGTGTTTGAAACCCACCAAATGGTACCCAAAGGCACTTGGTGGCCCACATTGTATCCAGATTTGTGTAAATTAGCCTTAGGAGCACCGGCACCCTGGGACATACCAGACTTCATGGGCCCTGACAAAATACCCGGCCCGGAAGCTTACCCCCTGTTTGGAGGGTTCCACTTAACATGGGGAGGGTGTCGTGAACAACAACAGAACCTGTTATGTCGGTTAACCTTCTATGTCTGCCCAGGTAACCATCGAGATAAGCGGCTCAACTCCCAATGTGGAGAAAGGGACTACTTTTACTGTAAAAACTGGGGATGCGAAACAACTCGGGACACCTGGTGGTCCCCGTCCTCATCCTGGGATTACATCACTGTAAAAGCAAATTACTCTCATAAGAGCCCAAATGCTCTTAATCAGGACTGTCGAGGTAAATGGTGCTACCCCCTCCAGATAGAATTCACAACAGCAGGAAAAAATGACACAGATTGGGAAAAGGGACATTCTTGGGGAATTAGGATATACAAGGAGGGGACAGATCCTGGCCTCTTGTTTACTATTAAAAGAGACATCTCCTCCTATTCAATAGCTATAGGCCCCAACCCTGTCTTACCTATCCAGAATCCCATCCCCAGCTACCCAAATCCCCTGCCAGCCTTAACACCTGAAGCCACCTCACAGCACCTCTCCAACCCTTTTTCTGACACTTCCCCTGCCAATATCCTGTTAGAACAGACCACCAGCCCCCCAAGTCAAAAGGTTTCGCCGATGAGGGACCAACTGTTCAATTTAATCCAAGGAGCATATAAGGCCATTAGACAGACAGACCCCAACCTGACTGAATCCTGTTGGCTATGTTTAGCAGCAGCACCCCCTTATTACGAGGGCATAGCCACACAAGGGACATTCAATAACACCACCTCAGCTGACCTATGTCATAGAGAGACCCCTCACCCCCTAACCCTCACGGAAGTCTTGGGATCTGGGCTCTGCTTAGGAAACCCACCTCCAACCCACACCCACCTTTGCAACTCCACTATTTCTGTACCCCCAGGGGAAGGGAATTACTATCTCCTACTTCCGTAAGGGACTTGGTGGGCATGTAACTCTGGGTTGACTCCCTGTGTAGCTAGTATGGTTCTTAATACCTCTCAAGACTACTGTGTCATGATTAAGCTCCTGCCCCGAGTATTTTATCACCCCGCAGATTCCATAGAACAGTTTTATGAACAAAACCCAGGCAGATATAAAAGAGAGCCTGTGTCTCTGACCCTAGCAATACTTCTGGGAGTAGGGGTGGCGGCAGGGATAGGAACCGGAACGGGAATACATTTTCCACCCAGGACCACATGGACACCCGGACCAGGTGGCCTACAGATGGCTGTAGATGAGGACATAAGTGCAATAGAACAGTCAATTACCCACTTAGAAAAATCTCTAACCTCCCTCTCAGAAGTAGTATTACAAAATAGAAGGGGGCTAGATCTACTTTTCCTCAAGGAAGGAGGGCTCTGTGTGGCTCTAGGAGAAGAATGTTGTTTCTATGCTGACAGCTCAGGGGTTGTTAGAGACTCTATGACTAAACTCCACCAAAGGTTAGACAAAAGGCAAAGAGACCGTGAATCCAAACAGGGGTGGTTTGAAGGATGGTTTAATAAAACCCCCTGGTTAACTACTCTAGTGTCCACCCTAATAGGTCCCCTAGTTATTCTTCTCCTTCTTTTAACCTTCGGGCCATGCATCCTCAGCAGACTGCTACAATTTATCAGGGACCGAATATCGGTGACTCAGGCCTTGGTCCTTACTCAACAATACCATGCTCTAAAAAGAACAGAAGACCTATAGATTTTAAGATTAAAATCTTTCCATAAGAAAAGGGGGTGATGATGGATTCAAACCAAGTCCCCCAGAATGATGGATTCAAACTAAGACCCCCAGGCCTGAGAAAAATTGTACAAGGAAGTAAAAATGAAAAACAATTCCTACTGCTGAGAAAAAGCTGACCTTTTCATGCTCTTTGAACAAGCTGGAAATCACCTGAAAAATCCTCCCCCCTGCTTCTGCTTTTTGGCTCAGTAGTCGCTTGTGGTTTGTGGTTTTTGCCTTTATAAGCAGTCTGTAAGCTGAGCTCAGGGCTTCTCCTTCCCAAGTGAGGCAGAGGCCCGTCTGCGCAAACAATTAAAATCCTCTTGCTTGTTGCATCTCCTGGTTTGAGGACTGAGTTATTGGGGTGCGGCCTCCCATGGACGTTGGGTACCCCGGACCGGGGGTCCAACACACCTCCTCTCTGGCTCTTAAAATCTTTCTGCCCCTGATTTGCAATGGCTCCTGAGCTCTGGGTAGGTAGACCTCTGTATAGGCATCCTGTCTAGAACCCATATTCTGTAGACTCTTAATCACTGTTTTGGTCATTTGTGACCTTTTGTTTTCCTAGTCTTCTGTTGCATGGGGAACTTCATTGATGAGAATTGAAAGATGTATTAGTGTTCTCTTCATCCCTTGGTCTATGTTCCATGAGATATAGGTGTAGAGGTTGCATCCTAGATGTGCCATTTAGGCTTGGGAAATTCCCAGAGAATCTCTGTGTGTGACCAGAGGTGTAACACCGTAACAATCTCTGTCTTTTGAAACAGAAGCTACTTTGATAGGTGGTGACTGGGATACTTGTCTATAAATTTAAAGATCCATATTTTGCACATAGTAAGAAATTATATTTGCCTAAGGATATGAGAGCCTTGGAGATTTCTCTAAGACTTATGACCTCTCCAGCTATGTATATTTGGTTAAGTTTGCAGTACTAGACACAAGTTTTCTCCCACTGAGTGGGCTTTAAATCCAATTAGATAGCCATTGATTACTCCCATGATAAATGTGCCACTATTGCACCAATGTTGTTTGCTTTGCTGGTCATTGGTGTGGTTTTTTAGGCCTTGAAGTTGGGGTTGGACCATCTATTGATGTTCTTTACCAGTTTGCATAGTGCTCTCCAAAACTATGAGACCTAGCCTTCAGGGGAGGTGGCATTCAGGTCAGTTCTAGCCCCATTGCTCCAAATACTGCATCCAAAGTATGTCCTGTCTTCAGCGATAGGGTCTTACCATCAAGTTCTGAGAGGCAATCATGGACTACGGCATTATCCTGTGTAATTTGGGTAATCTCTTGGACTACCCTGTCTAACCATTCTTAGGAAAGTTTCTCCTATCTGGCACTTTGTCTTGTTATGTAGCCTTCAGCTATACTCACAGACTCAAGTACGGATGGTGTATGTGTAATTTTTCTGTAAGTTTTTGGACTAATATGATTCCCTCTGGTTTGTTATACTAGCTAGGCACTATTTATATCTCCTCCTCTCCCTGTCTTATCCTCCCTCCCCTCCCATCCCATTTAAAGTGTCCCCATTTCTTCCTTGATAATTTCTGTCTGCTATGGACCCACCTCTTTCAAGCCCCTTCTTCCCATTTATTTCCATAGTTCTTTATATAGTCCTCCTCTCCCTCCCCTTTAATTACACCCTTTCTACACCTTTCTCCTTTAGTAACACCTGTCTCTTACTATTATTCTCTCTCAGGTTCCAGAAAAGTGGAAGAGAACCAGGGAGGTAAAGGGAAAGTATGGGAACACATTTGCATCTGTCCATTGTAATACACATATCTAATTTTAAATAGTCACAATCATAAAATAAATTTTGAACATTTAAGCAAAACAGCAAGTATCAGCCCAGATTAAAATCCGCTTAGAGGAAAAATACTCTCTATGTTTGATTGTCAAACTAAGGATATATCAGATGAATGAATATTCCAAACAACTTTAATGAATCAAAATTTTAAAAAGTAAAAATTTCAGCTGGATGTGATGGTTCATCCCTTTAATCACAGCACTCTATGTGATCTCTATGACATCAAGGTTAGCATGGTCAACATAATGAGTTCTAAGTCAGCTGAAGCTACAAGAAGATTCTGTCTCAAAATTAATTTTTTAGAAGTAAAATTTTCATACTCTTTTGTAGAAATAAACCACATGTCAAACACAGTCTGCAGAGGACCCCAGATCCTCTTCTCTCAGTCTGATCCCCTATCATCTAGCAGGATCCAGAGTGGCAAGTGAATGAGGAAGGGGAATAATAGAGTTAGTCCTCAGCATCCTGCCACCACATTACAGTTAGTATTTAGAACTGGTCCTGTGTTTAAGGATTGGCCGGAGGAATAGTTTTAAAAGGAGATCGTAAAAGCGGGCATATCTTAAACAAATTGTGTTTTTGTTTTATTTTTGTTTTGTTTTCGCAGGGACAGAGGTAGTATTTATCTAAAATAATTCATGGACATTAAATTTGCCTCTAATTCTTGTGTTGAACATGAAAACACACACACACACACACACACACACACACACACATACACAGCACTACAATTTGCAGGTGATATATGGGAAAGATGAAACCAATATTGCCCAAAGGGTAAAGTATTAGACTCTCTATAAATGCTTAGTGAGCAGCTTCAACAGAGCATGAGATGTGGAGATGTCAGTCATTCTGTCCTGGCTTAGTAGTCTATACACAGTGTGGCCACAATGATGAGGGTGCAACTTAAGGCAGGACACACACCATGAACTTTATTCCTTCTGCATACCTGATGCCAAATGACACACCTTCTAGGAGCCTATGCTGATGCTGAGAGGTGTTTTAACTCCTGTTATCCAAGGATCCAGCCATGCCACCCTGGAGAAGAGGCAGAAGTGTATTAGCACTGAAACAAGCCAGTGTGATGTGAATCTGCTTTCCTCACTTGCAGAATTTATGTTACAAGCATCATCAGAAGACTTACAGGATATTTAATTATCCACATTATTCTACACAGAAGTCTTCTGGCAGGGCTGGACTTCATAGCAAATA